CTGATTTCAGTATTGAGTGGATGTATTTTAATCCAAGACAATTCTTACAGCACCTAAGCACATGCTAATTATGCCCTAAATTCAGTGCTGAAAAACCTGTGGCATTCCAGACTGGACACAGGGGCACAGAAGTTGTTTTTTACTGACTCAAACCACAGGTGCATCTAGCCCAGTACCGCCACATCTGACTAGAAGAGGCTTATTGGAGCTTCAGGTATCCTTAGTATTTCCTTGTAATACACCATTCAGCTACTAACCAAGGCTGATGTTACTTATTCCAAAATGAGACAGTATCAAGTGTGTTGAAAGGATACAAACTCCAACTTCCCTCAGACCTGGCCGCACTGGCCAGTGTAAGTGATGGTGGAAGTTGCAGTTCATGATTTAGAGAGCCCAAGGTTTTCCAGTTCTGTCTTAACAAATGTTAACTAATCCTAAATACTCATGATTTGAAAATTTAGCATATATTGGTGGGTCACATCAATTTCTGCAAAAAGGTGGGGGAAAGGAGACCACACAGAACAACCCAAGTCTGCCCACTCTGGATATTTGGTCCTTTTGTCCTGCATTATTACCTCATTAAAAAAAGAAAAGAAACAAGAAATATAATACAGTTGCCCCTCCATTTTCACACGGGATCTATTCCACACCCCTCCCCATGAAAACAGAAAATTGCAGATATTCAAGCCCCACTGGCTTGAATGGCCGTGCCCTCCTGTGTGTGGCCCTACATGCACGCCATGGGGGCGCACACCATTTTAACCAATGGAGCTTGCCAGTCAGCAAAGGACCAAGACCACAGACTCGAAGTCTGTGAAAATGGAGGGGCAACTGTACTCAAATAACCTTCCTTAGCAAATGCAAATTTAATGCATACAAAATACAAATTCCAAGAAGTGGATCACCACAAAATATTTTTGGTTATATGAAACATTGTGCTGATCCTGAAAATGGGAAGGAAAAAAATAGTTCTGCTTAATCTTGTAAATGTGACCAAACTTCTGATATAAAATAGTCTAGCAGAATCCAACATTGCTAATAGTAACAATCACCTTAATTTGGAATCACTAGAAAATAATCTGTCTGTGAATTAGCATAAGGCCAATCAGACCAGGCTAATTTTGCCTTCTATAAGGAAATATGAGCCAGATAAGCCTGTCTGCATTGACCGAAGCTTCCATAAATCTTTCAGTCTCAGTAACAGAATGGATACAGGCTTAGGTACAGCCAATTACTCACATCAGCCTTTTAGGATCAATTTTTTCTAAATGAACTAAAGGCTTGAGCTGCTCAGCAAAGCTCCTCATGTCGTCGGAAACCATGTCCTGTCCTGCTGGTGCTACAATGCTAAGCTCCACGAGGTAGGAAAGAGACAAGGGCTCAATGTTGTCAGTATTTCCTGGGATCAAGATGCGGAAGATCTTGTAAACAACAATCTTCATAATGCCCTTGCGGAATACATGCCCCTTAGCAACAAATTCATGGTCCATACGAAACCCCATCTCCACCAGGAAGTCTGTCAGGTTCTCAGAAGTGGCAATATCAACACAGTTGCGCACCAAGGCATGACGGTTTTTGTCTCCCATTTCTGGCTGCCCAAGATACCGCAAATGCCAAGGCGTGCCAGGTTTGTCCATGGAGCGCCGTGTGCGGAGGACAAATGGGCTGGCCTGCTGGCCCTTCAGGAGGAACACCATCTCATGATCCAAAAAGGTTTCAGGCTCCATGTTGTCACATAGGCCACGGAGTCGATGAAGGAGACTCTCCAAGCTCTGGTCCAAAACACTCCCTTGCAAGGAAGGGAAGACAAATTACACTATTTGAATAGGTAGTCGTCCTATTAGACAAACTGTCCTAACACACCTGTTAGCTTAAAAAAAAATGTGCAGTGCTGAAAATGGTACAAAAGCCTCCTTAGGCTTGATCATAATACGATCAAATATTAGCATAAACATCTCCATAAAAAACTGAAATCCTGGAAAAGTGTGATCTTAGAATAAAAGGGATTGCTTAACAAATATTTGCATTTTCCTCTTTAGCAGTGTTACTTTGACAGTTGTCTCTTGGCAGTGTTTTTTCTTTCCTTAATTGTTTGATTGATATAATTTATAGCACTTTGTTATGTTATCATGCTCATTTAATTATTGTCATATAAAATTGTGCATTGCCAAGCTGTACATCATCAAATATTCTAGCAAAAGCCACGATTCTGTAATGTGCAAAACAACCTATAATTGCTAGTTCACAGCCTAGTAGCTGACCTGTCTTTTTCACCGTCCTGCTGCCATAAAAAGAATGCATCTACATTATTAAATGCCCCTGCATTCTTCTAACAGAATGTCATGCTGCATGAATGAGATAGGAGAATCAGGAGAATCCTTACTGGTGACTTACCTTGAAGTAAATATTCCATCATGTTAATGGTACCACCAGTGACTGGCATCATTGTGACAGGAGGAGCCTCCATGGTACTGTCTTCCCTACATAAAAAGAAGGAAAATAAAGGAAAGAACAGTGCATTTTTACTTTTAAAAAGTATTATATAGAATGTTTTTCTTAAGTGATTTAAATAATTACATTTAAGTTCTTCAAATAAATTATTTTAGTGCTTTCTCTGAAGGGCAATCCTGCTTTGCTCTCTCCTCCAGTCCTCTCAAGCATTACAGGTCCCAGTACATTAACTCAACATCCACTGTACTAGCAATATGTTACTGAAAGTGCTTGCATTAGATTAGTATGAAGATTTTTTCACATATAATCTAGTGCAGTGCATAAGAAACCATTTCAACCAAGAAAAATAGTCCTATATAATCAGGAATGGAGTCTTCTAAAAATAAAAGATGCATATCACACGATAACTCAGTAGTCACAGAGTTTCTGGTGTAAAAATCCACACATGTGTTCATACACTAATTCTATGGATCTCCCATGGATATTTGAATGTCCTTCAACTCTATGATGCTATGATTCTATGAATGTATACATGATCACTGGAGTTGTTCAGGGATAAAATACACATAAAATCATAGAGCTGGATGGGGCACTATGGACCAATGAGTACAACACTTCCCCTGCCACCACTCAGTGGAGGAACCCCAGTGACTATGCCAGCAGATAGCTGTCCAGACTCTTTTTCAAAATGTCCAGAGAAGACCTTTCCATCTTACTAGGCAATTGGTAACATTGCTGAACCACTATTATTGTCAAGACAGTCTTTCTAATGTTCAGTTGAAATCTACCCTACTGTAACTTAAAACCTTTAAACCTGGCCCTACCCACCTGGATAGGAAAGAACAAATTTGCAGCCTCCTCTTTGTGAGGACCCTTGAGGTACTTAATACAACCACATGATTCCTACCTTCTCTTTGATTTCAGTTAAATTTTCCGCTATTAAAGCCAGAATGGGTAACTGGTGGCCCTTGAGATAGTGTCTTCCACCCTTCCATTGAGAAATCATGTGTAATACAGTGAGCCCTCTGTATCAATGGCTTCCTCATCCATGGATTCCACCATCCACCATTTGAAAATTATATACATATGTGCGTGTGTGAATACTGTATATAATTTCACAAAAGCAAACCTTGATTTTATCATTTTATATAAGGGACAACATTTTAATATGCTATTGTATTTAATGGGACTTGAATATTCACAGATTCTGGTATCCACAGGGGGTCCTGGAACCAAACCTGAGCAGATACCAAAGGCCCACTGTATTTTAAAAAATATAAGTTCCAGAAAGGAAACCTTGATTTTGCCCCTTTAAATAGGGGACACCATCCTACTATGCCATTGTATTTAGTGGGGCTTGAACAGATTCTGGTATCCATAGGGGGGCCTGGAACCAAACCCAAGTACTGCAACCAGTAGTGAGGGGAGGGTTGACCAGAGACTGCAACTGCAACAGTTCCTGCAACAGTATTCATGCTATCAAATGAATGTAGAGGTGTGAATAAGCTCTTCTCTGTAATCAGTGAGACTTTTGAGCAAGTGCATCTAAGGTCAAATTGCTAGCCTTGCCAGCAAACCTTAGATGCACTTACTCAAGTCTCATTGACTACAGAGAACTTATCCACACTATTTTTCATAGTATGTACTGTCAGAACAGAACATGGAGAAACAGAACAGTTGTATCTTTTCACCTTATCTGTTCAACCTGTATGCAGAAGATATTATAAGAAAAGCAGGCTTGGACACAGAAGGAGGAGTGAAAACAGTAGGAAGGAATATAAACAATCTAAGGTAAGCTGATGATACCATAGTACTAGCAGAAAACCTCCCAGACCTGGAACACCTACTAAGGAAGATCAAAGAAGAAAGTGCAAAAGCAGGCTTAATGTTGAACACAAAGAAAACAAAAATAATGACACCAAGAACCTTCACAAGTTCAATGAAAAAATAGAAATAGTAAAAATTCCCATACCTGGGATCAAACATTAATAGAAATGGGGACTGCAGTCAGGAAATCAGAAGATTAAGAATGGGGAGAGTGGCTATGAAAGAACTAGAAAAGATCCTAAAATGCAAAGATACGTAACTCAGCACAAAAGTTAGAATTCCCTATTACCATGTATGGATTTGAGAGCTGGATAGTTAAGAAAAAGGACAGGAAAAAAATCAATTCATTTGAGATATGATAAGAGAAGAGTGCTGAGGATCCCATGGACAGCCAAAAGGAGAAACAAATGGATCCTAGAGCAGATCAAGCCGGAAACCTCCCTGGAAGCATAGATGACCAAACTCAGGCTGTCGTATTTCACACATCATGAGAAGGGAGGCCTCTTTGGAAAAGACAATAATGCTGGGGAAGCTGGAGGAAAGTAGGAAGAGAGGAAGGGCACGTGTCAGATGGGTGGACTCTATGAAGGATATCATGGATATTAAGGGGTTGCAGGAATTAAGCAGAGCAGTGAAGGGGAGGGGGTCTTGGAGATGTCTCATCCATACGACTCAAGGGCAGTTAACAACTTTCAAAGCATGTACATAGCATGTACCTTCAGAGCCAGCTGGTATAGTGGTTTGAGCATTGGACTACAACTCTGGAGAGCAGGGTTCAAATCCCCGCTTGGCTATGGAAACCCACTGGGTGGCCTTGGGCAAGCCACACACTCTCAGCCTCAGAGGAGGGCCATGGGAAACTCCATATGAAGAAACTTGCCATGAGAGGGGTGCTTTAAGTCAGAAACAACTTGAAGGCATATAACAACCAACTACCTTCAAAGATATCTGTTCCAAGTCCAAGATGCCAAGTGTGGGATGAAAATATATATATATAATATGTCACTGGACTTCAAATCCCATCATGTGCTATGCTAGCCAGAGCTGGCAGGGGGTTCTGTCCAGCAACAGGTGGGAAGCCACTCAACTGCCCACCCTTGCCAACATATTAAAGAGTGTTGAAAGTTAAAGCAAACCAAGGAACAAACCAAAAAGCAAACAGCTTTTTGTTGTTGAGATGTGCCTTCAAGTAATTTTATGATGACCGTAAGGCCATATCATGGGGTTTTCTTGGCAGATTTGTTCTACATCTACCAAAATACGGAGACTTCTTGAGGAATCCATTGTTCTCTGCCACAAAGAGGCCTGTGGCCTCACTGGAATGGAGACATACTGGATTGCAAAAGAGGGGTCCCTGTTGAGATGCAAATGGGTTTTAAAGTTCCTGGACTTTGCAAATCTCCCTATAGCCACAGGTCCAGGAAGAGGAGGATCCTGCCTACAAAATATATCCTCCCCACCATATCCCATCTTAACTAAAGGCTGAAACAACATGTAGACATCTGACGAACATCTCCAATTGTTTTTCTCATGTTTGGTTTCTAACATCTTGCCTGATGAAGAAGCCCATGGAGCTTCGAAAGCTTGCAACAAGTATATTGTGCATTTTGGTTGGCCAATAAAGGTAACACTGATGGACTTTTGTTTGAATTTGTACAGAAGGGGTTTGCCATTGCCTTCCGCTGAGGCTGAGAAGGTGTGACTTGGCCAAGGTCACCCAGTAGGTTTCATGGCTGATCTGGGAATCCAACCCTGGTCTCCACAGCCGTGGTCAACAACAGCAAGGCAAGCCTATATACATCATGGGGAAATTCAAAGCTGTATAGCCGTGTTAGTCTGAAAAAAGGGATTTTTCAGTCCCTTTGAGACTCGCTGGAAGAAAAAAATCTGGTTGCATGAGCTTTGAGAAGAGTGGAAAAGTTGATTTTGGGGGCGGATAGGCAACCTTTCCCCTTTAAGGGCTGAGGGACTTCAGCTCCCAGAATCCCAGGAGCTATTGGCCAATATGGGACTATTGGCCAACATGGCTGAGGCTTCTGGGAGATGAAGTCCCTCGGCCCTTAAAGGGGAAAGGTTGCCTACCCCTGCTTTATATTACTGGTTTTTCAGACTAACACGGCTATGGCTTTGAATTGTACCATCTTAAAGATGAAACACATTTAGGGGTAGCCATGTTATTAGCCATATAGCAAATCCAATAGCATTTTAAAAAAAGTTTACCCAACAGTGATACCTTTGTGGGGCCAACCAAAATGCACAATATAGCATATTGCAACATGTATATTGTGCATTTTGGTTGGTCCCACAAAGGTATCACTGTTGGGTGGGTTTTGGACTCTGGCCTCTAGTCCACACTGAGGCAGTTTATCCCACAATAATCCCGTGAAAGGGCGCCTTTGGCCTCAGGGTCCTTTGCACTGAGGGGAAGACTGAGGGGAGGCAGAGGACCTTTGAGGAGCGCCTCGATAACCCAGGGCCGAAACGCCGACAAGAAACCGCCGCTCGGTTCTCCAGAAGCTCAGGCTCGATAAGAAGGCGCCGGCAGAGGAGCGTAATGGCGGCCTGAGGAGAAAACGACCCTCGACTTGAATCCCTTCTGCTCTTCTTGACCTCCTCTTCCCCTCGCTGACAAAACAATGCGCATGCGCATGGCCCCGGCCCGTGTTTTCAAATGGATGTCGCCATTTTCTCCCAGCCTCACTCCAAAAAACCCCAAATGCGCATGCGTATTTCTCCCTTTTTTTAATGGGCGTCACCATTTTCCTCCTGACGTCAGAGGACGGAAGCTTCCCATTCGCCTTCTCCCAAGCCCCCTCTTCTCCCCCGCCTTACTCGAATTAAAAGAATGCGCATGCGTATTCT